GACTTTTCAGGTATTGCATTCGATGGTCTGGAACGGAGGGGTCTGGCACGGAATTCGGGGACTTGATCCGGAGCTCTGGATCGGGGTCTGGATCGGGATGTGCGATCGCCCTTGTTCCGGACCTTTCATACTGAGCAGTAGCCATATTAGTGCTAGGTGTCCACGTGTACAGGCCCAACACAAAATCAATTTGGGTTATCCTCGGCAGGTGCTGCTCAGGGGCCACCCCAGGCTTCGGCAAGTGCAAGTCCTGCAGTAGAAAGGCCAACACTGAGACCAAAAATGTCATCTCGAAACCAGAGCTTCTCACACAACTTCAGCTTCTCACACAACTTCCGCGGGCCTTTCTCGTCACGGAACATGGAAAGAGCTTTGGCAACTGCCAAGGGCCTGATGCTGGTTGAAAACATCCACCTTCAAAACCAGCTAGTATGCCTTTGTTGGGATGCCTGCCTGTGCTACTTGCCACGATTGCGCATGACACTATCTCTGTTGCAGATTCTGTCCCCATCAACAGGGCATTGCCAGGTCTTGAGTCATCTCGAATGTGACGAAGCATACACGCAAGGCAGTCAAGCCGTCTGACGCAATTCCAACCGACACTCTTTGGCTTCTGACTTCATTGTTTGGCACTACGTCTGCCCTTCATTGGCGTACAAGTCTACACGAAGGAACACCAACCAAGCATTGCAATTTGACGCCTTAGACTTGGTCATGCCGCAAAGTTTGTGGGATGCCCCAGGTCTGCTGAAGTTCTTCTTGTTCCTGTGATTCCCTTGATTTCCCTTGTTGCACTATTCAACTCTCAAATTACACCAGTATTCAGCGGTAACCTGATTGGCTGGTAGAACCTCCTCCTAATCAGGACTATTCAGGGGTAGTCGCCCTTAAACGATTTGAGGCTCTGCTGCGCGAGTTCGACTTGACAAAATCTCCACCGGAGGCATGTGCCCAACCATAATTGCGGCCCTGCTTCAAAGCATTTGCCGAGAGTCTCCGGCCGACCTTCAGCTCAGGCTCCTCGCGACTTCTGTCCACGCTTGCAAAAACTCGCTTTCCAATTAATCGTGTGCCCTGCATGGCCTTGCTTGTCGAATGGGTTTCAAAACTTTCTCCTGGCTTCCAGGGATTGCCAAGATGCCCATAAATTGTAGGCTTCTGTGCAAGACTAGAGTCTAGAGTGTCAGCGCGGGAACAGGACTACTGAACAATGCTGTGGCTCAGTAGCTGCGGGGCGCTTGGTGACTTTGAGCCTCTACACCTTGCTTCCTTGCCTTCAGGGTGTCTTTTTGCAGCCTCAACGCGCACGGGGCAAACCCTGGTAACATTGGCATCATATCGAATCGTTGGCTTGGACGTCACCCAACTCATGTGACGGTAGGTGTAATCTGATGTGAGAGGACCTTCATGCAGTGTTCAAACGATCCAACTGAGCCAGCTCCACACAAATGGGCTTCAATACGTGACTGAGCCTTGAATCAGTGAACCCTATTTGCAAGCTCAAGCATCAGTCTTGGAGGATCATGGTGCCTCATGCTTCCAGGGCAAGCCGGAATCTAGATCCAACGAGTGTAGTGTTAGTGTTTAGCAAGCAGGCGTGCCTAACATTACATGTGCGAAAGCTCAAAAATGCTATCGCGGTGTATCCCGTTGGTGCCTTGATCGCCTGCTTTGGTGGGGTCTCTGTGGCAGCGAGCCTTGCAGCCAACCTTCTGGGATCCAGTCACTCACGGAGGCGATTGCAACGACAACTCCCTTTGGCTGACTTCTCACGGCACTGCAGAAGGTGGCACAAGCCCATGCGACAGTTTGCGGCAATGTCAGTAACTGCCCCCTGGAACCAACCCCACGTGATCGCAGAAAACTACCAACTCTGGGTGCGCGACTGCTGTGCCTTGCGCCTGGACAAAGGTGTCCGGACAAATAGGAGGCTGCTAGCTGCAAGGCTTGGGAAATCTACTTTGTCGGGTATCTGTGACATTCTGTGACGGTAGTGTAGAAGGTGTGCAGACGTTCATGGCAACGATTCCTGCTCTGTCAGCCGTTGGCAATCCACGCCAGCTTTGCTGAAGGTCTTCAAAACAAAATCAACCGTGCCTGAGCTTTGCATGGCGTTGGCGATGAACCCTGGCTGTACTCCTGCAAATCCGCGGCATGGACTGGGAAAATCGGTGCTTCAAACAACTAAAGGGATGTGTCACGGAACCGCCTCGGGACCGTGCTTGGAAGTTCCACGCTGCAAGAAAAAAGCAAAGTGCCCGGGCTCCCGAGGCCCTGGTGTCGTGGAACCCAGGAAGGCGCACCTGCATCGTTTAGGTCTTATAAGAGAACAGTGCGAATCAGCAACAGAGGCAAATTGCAATGAAAGCTGGCCTGCAGCCCCAATGTGGAGGGCCTGCATGGCATCAAACCTGCCGAGCAGGAACCCAATTACAAATCGGGTGCTAAGTTCAAGTGCGAAGGCCTCTGACTGCTGCATAACTTCTGAGAACATGTGGCTGAGTATGATATTAACATGACAATTTGCTCTTAAGGGCTGAAGCTGGGGGTCGTCTTTGTCTTCTTCTCTCTAAGATCTGCTCATTTGCAGTGCGCGCCACATGCTTGCACTGTTTCTGGATGAAGAAAACCTTCTATGCTGTGGATGCGTGGCGGACCTGGCAATGTTTGCAGAATGAGAGCATAGATGGTGCTGGGAAGTCAAAACAACTTTCCACCAATTGTGTACCTGCCACTCGCATCGAAAACTAGGCTGAGAAACGTGTGTCTCAAGTCTTGATTACCATTTTTACCATGGCCCACCTGTCCATCGTGACCGTTACAGTTGGACTCCGCGTTCTGACAGTTGGCAGAGTAAACGCTTTGTGCAGCACTTAGTGTCAGGTCCAACAAGCAATTGCCCCTGGCAAGGACCTTGGCCCACAAATCTCAAAAACAGGTTTCTAACCAAGATAGACGCTTTTCTGCCAAGTGTGCTATGATCCGCGCACGCTGGCAATCACAGTATTTTGAAGCGCGATGGCTCTTAACATTTCACTTGGGCTGCTTGACTTATTGGCGCATGAGAGTTTGAGTCGGCATGTTCAGAGTTGGCATTGAGTTGCAAAAGCTGCCAGGTCCAACAAAAAGGTGAATTATACTGGGAGTATCCTCCATGAAAGAAATCCACTTCCATGGGACCAAATCTGGACAGCAACGTATTGTCCCCTTAAACGCTGTCAAAGTGTCACGCCACCATGTCACGCAGCTCATTTCTCATGTTGCGGGTTGTCTGGCTGCAAGCCGTCATGCTTCAAAAGCGCGAGATTGCAAGGGGCAATAACTACAGGTGCGTACTCTCGACGTGCCGAGATCACATCACTTTGCATTTACCACACAGGCGTCGTTTCTGGCTCAACTCCTGTCTGTTTGCCTCAGTCCACCTGTTGCAAAATTTGACAGTTGCATCCAATCACTGGCTCTGCCGCTCTGCAGGCTTGAAAGTGAAAAGTCTTCTTTGGCGCCAGCTTTCTGTGGTGATCTCTGTTCTGAGTGTGCTTCGTGTCCAGCAGAAACAACGTTTACCTCATGGGCCGACTCTTGTGAATCAACCTTTCAAGAGCAAGCAACCACCAAACACCACCTTTGCATGTACAGCAGGTAGCCCAGAGGGGAAGGCTGCAGTCAACGGTCACCACCGCCCATTCCAGATCAACACTAATGCTGATGAGCACGAGACTTTGGATTTGGCCAAGGCCCTCTGAATTTTGGGCTAAACTCATCACGAGATACGCATGAGACACGGTCTAAGTATTCTAAGTTCCGTATGTGGGGCTGGCGCACTTGATTTTGGTGAGTGGCCTATCGTTTTCCAAGCTTTGGTGGTGGGCCATTTTTTTCTCTTTGTGAGTACAAGTTTAGTACTCGAAGGGCCGTCCCCGGCAGGCGGATGGATTTTCGTTCTGTGGAACGGCCGTCTCCGGCAACCGGATGGATTTTCGTTCTCTGTTAGTACAACTGCCATCTCCGGCAACCGGATGGATTTTGGTTCTCTGGTAGTGCAACTCTAGTACTGGAACGGCCGTCTCGGCAACCGGTTTTCGTTCTGTGGTAGTACAACTTTAATACTGGAACGGCCGTCTTCGGCATGGATTTTCGTTCTCCGATAGTAGAAAGTTAGTACTGGAAAGGCCCTCTCTGGCAACCGGATGGAGTTTCGTTCTCTGGTGATAAGACTTTAGTACCAGAATGTTTTTTGGACATTTTGACCTATCGTTTTTGGTGAGTGACCTATCGTTTTCCAACCCAAAATACTTCGAATCGTGTCGCTCCCCTCAAAGCCTTAGACTTCAACGAAAAAGACAGCGCATCTCATGCAAATGGAGACACCTTGATTAAGATGATTAAGTGAGTTCATTGTCTCGACCTTGGCGGTCGCCATCCACAGACTGGCAATGGTCAAAAATTGTTCTGTCGATGTCGTGTTGGCCTTTGCGGGTCAGTACCAGACATGTCAACGTCGTGGCCAAGGACGATGTCATCCACAATTGACCTGAGATCCACTCGGGGCATCTCGGGGCCGCAGGCAAGCAGATGCTTGTTGCTTTGTCGAATGCTGCAATGGGCAGAATTGTGCATCCCTCAAGGGTGTTTTAATAGCATACTCAGCTTCCATCATCTCCCATGAGTCCAGAATTCTGCCACAATGGCTCAGGTATCATCGTGATGCCTGCGCCATCTTGCGCCAATTGCCCTACCAATCTTTACCATGAATTTAGGACAGAAAGAAATTTTGCATAATCCTGCAAGGTACTTTGTCATCGGAGCCTTCACGAACTTCCTGCGGCGTGCTGGCGTCTACCAAGCGTAGTAATGACTCTGAACACCAGGTCTCCTTTCAAGGTGCTTTGACTGCCAATAGCTTGCTTCTCAGAACCTGGATCACTGCCCTGATCTGCAGCATGCGCATTATCCACTGTGGCGTCTACAAATTTGCACCTACTATCCTGCTGTCGTTCTCCATCCTGGCCCAGTGCTTGCAACTTACTCTGCCTGCCTCCGGCCGCCGGGTACTACAGGCAGTGTACGCGGGTCAGCGACCCTTGGCAGGGATGGGCGCGTGGTCATGGTAGGTTTTGGGGGGTTTTGCTCTGTAAGCGTTGTCGGCTCAACGGCTACAAAGCACTGCAGAACTGCAGCATAATCAAGTGTCACTCCTGCATTGCAGCTGCTACTCTACTGTACTGGTTGGTGTTTTGAGGTGGCAGAGCTGATTTGGCTTCCAACCTTGCCACTGCATGTCAATTCCCCTAGACCCCTCGCATTGACTTTCGGACCAGGACCTAGGGAATGCGGCATGCCAGCATCTGAGACTGCCGTAGAGGTCGCAGAACCATTCACATCCACTGAACTGAGCTTCTTGCGGACCCCAGCAGTCAGCGTCACTCTGAGGCCCCATCCTCGTTCACAACGGCACGAGTCATTCCGCAAAACATTCAATTGATCGGATCTCTTCTCAGCAATCATGCTTCTGCCACATCACTCTTGCGCGTGTGTTTTTATCCAAGTGTTTCTGCTGCGGCTGAAACCCATCATTTTGCTCAGCTTCGGTGCCTGCCTTCTGATTTCCTGGAAGCAGAAAAGGGCTTCAGCAAACTCGGCGAGAGAATCAGCAACAAATCGGCGAGATTTTTGCAAGCACATGCGCAAGAACAAGCGGCCAGAATAACCAAACTCTCCCTCAACTATGTAGCATTGGGGCGGGACTAGGCCAGGATTTAAGTCTTCCGGCTAGGTGCTAAGGGATGTTAAGGGTTCGCAGGCTTTATGGCCTTATGCTTCGCAAGTGGTTGCGGAGTTTAAGCCACCAACCTCCTTTACTTTGCAACTTCTCTCTTACAGGCTTCTTATGGAACTCTGCAATTGCCTTGGATTTTTTCGATCTAGAGTTTAGGGGTGGGTGCAGATTGAGGGGTTAACGGCTTTGGGCTATGGATTTTGGGGTGTTGTTGTTTTGGTGGCTCAGGGTCCAGGAGTTCACCGGTGGAAGGGTTTAAGGCCGTACCAGGGTCAACTTCAAGTCCAACTACCCTCCGGCACATCAGAAGTATGAGGGCAGGACTGGTACAGTAGTTCAACCAGGAAAAATGCAACCGACACGAGGTAAGCGACACGCACAAATCATGCATGCCACGTGCAAAGACAATAAAAACCTGCACCATCCTTCACCCTTCTCCTTGCTGGGATTCGTACTGCCAGTCAGTCTCATTCCCCCACTTTGGGCTGGGTGCCAGGCCGCTTGCTGCGCAGCTGGTTCTTCCAGGAGGGCCGGCCAGCGGCGTCCTTTTCTGTGGCAACATTGGAGTTTTCAATTTTCTGTGAGTTGCGTGAGGTTTCGATGTGACATCTCTTCTGCACTCTCCCGTCAATCCCTTGATGCCCTGGGTCCTCGAACATGGCATGGAAGTGTTTTGTGTCAAACCGGTCATCCAGAGGCGCCTCTTGCTCACGGTTGAAAACGACCTCGACGTCTGAGGGGCTTTGAGAGATCGCTGGGCATCCTTGCCGCTTTGAAGTGTAGTTCTGGAGCGATGCTGTGCTCATGCGTGTGCGAGACTCCAGCATGGGGGAGCTTGCTGAAATTTGTGTTTGAACCACCTTGGCCGTTGCAATTCCAGCATCCAAGCCTGGTTCACCACCGCCTTGGAGTGCGGGTTGGAGGGGTATAGCCGTACGCCCCGCCGTGCACGTGCCTGAGCAAATGCCAACTTTCTCCCACCCTAGACGAAGGCCCCGGCATGCAGCCGCCGCGAGTTCCTAAGGCAAAGGCAGCTGTCAGCAGGAGCTCGAGCTCAGGATCTTCTTCCTGCGGCTCGTTCCATATAGCATCAACAGAGGGACAACAGGAAATCTACAAACATCGAGAACTGCAAGAGCGATACGCGGCTACAAAGAACATCAAGGTCAAACAGCTGTCTTCTTGGTGCTAGCTTCCGCTGAGAACTCGACCTTCTGAAAGTGCGTGCAAGTCATACAGCTCAAGGTGCTGCAGGCAAAACATTTGTTGGACTGCCCTGATGTCCAAATCGGCTGTAGCACCAGAAATGTTACTAATAATCGATGAGGGGAGCTTCCGAAGTCAAGTCACCCAAATGCCAAAGCAATCTTCATTGCACGCGTTGCAAACCTGCAGCTTTGACAAATGTAGCTCTAAATGTCTAGCTTCACATCTTACATGTTCACAGAGTTTGCGCAGCGTTGCACCAAAAAATGTCACCTAGCGGTTTACTGTCAGGTGGACAGTGAATTTCGAATCCTAAGGTCTCTGAAGCATCCGAGACATGTGGTTTTCCTGTATGCGGTCAAGCCAAATTGCCTGAAACCCTGAAAGTTAAAAAGCAAGGCCTGCGTTTGCAGGTCAAAACGCCAAAAGAGCAAAGCCTCCTCCTTGTCCACACGATGCTCAGGAGAGGCCTCGAGAGCACGGGCTCGTCTCGTTAAGCTTTAGGTGAACAATGCTGGGCAACATGCTCTAATGTGACAATCTGCGCAAAAAGAAACGTAGCTACAGCTAAACAACTTTGAGCTTCTGGCCCTCGCTGAGAACGATCCTCCCCCAGCGCGACTAGGGCCCCTGGTAGCAGGACTTCGACGGCCTGCATATTCTGGCAAAGCTGTTTTGCAAACAAAGAGTTCATGTTATTCACTTTGTTTTCTGATGCCGGGTAGCTAGACACCTGCAGGGACCCACGCGTGAAAGACTCGCGCAAGCAAACTGGACAGAGCTTGTATCTTGTGACATCCTGCAACGCATACAGGTACGTAGGCCTGCGCATTTTGCCTGGACAAACGAAACAAGCAGGATAGCTGAGCAGAGAACGAGAACGTCTCTCAACAAAGACACCAGATGTGCCAGGCAAAACGGAGCACATGGAGCAGCAAGTTGCTTCATGCTCAGCTATGCCGCGCTGTGTCAATAGCTTTACAAGGGTTCCTCCTGGAACAAATGCCGCGTGTTCATCCTTGGCTAGCATCCCGACTTTGCTTGTGCTCACTCTCTGCCTGCACAACTTGTATAGGCGCATATAGGCGCTCCGAGCACTGCCCAAGCCGGGTGTGGGTTCGTCACTGCTTGATCTGTATACTGTATACTGTTACTGCAAAAGCAGTTCCCTGCGATTGGGGTGGACGAGTAGCATTGTTGGCTCACTGGCAGCATAAATAAATGCATAAGTATGCCGTATACTTTCCTCTCCGCAGAGAACAAAAGGCCTGCGGCAATACTGCTTGAGAGAACACGAAAGGGGAATGCAAGTGGGAAGCAGGGGAAGACTTGCTAGACGAGAGACTTTGGAGCAGGACAAAGCTCTATAGGCAACATGCGCAGTAACAGCATCTGCTGGAAAGCAATGCCTCGAGGTGTCATTGAAAATAAAGGTGTGCCTGGCAGGGCCAACATGTCAGCTTCACTTATGTCAGCTTCACTTGACAGAGGAGCCCGCCAAATTTCAGTCGGAAAGTCCGCATTGCCTGCTCTCGAGGCGCATTGTGAGCCGGAGCATCGTGCCTGGTCTGGCACCAAAGTAGGCTTGGACAGCTGATGCCAGCTTGAAAGCTTCAGCTTGCCACGGCACGAAGCTCTGTAGCTTTGGTTAAACTGCGCGCAGTGATACATAGTAACTTTTGATTTAAACATGCATTTGAGCTAATGTGTTGTAAGAGAGCTACTGCTGTGTCGGGACGCTTTGCCACGAGATAGTCCGTACTAGTACCGTGGCTTGATGGCAGGGCATCTATCCAAAGGCCCAGGCAAACCTTCACAGTCATGATCGCGACTCCGAGGTGGGTAACACCAGAGTGTCAAAATATTGCCAATTAATCCACATTTTAGTCCTGAATCATTTCCTTTATCATGCCACACCATCTCATGAAGCGCCCAAGGCTCAAGGCTTCTACAAACGTCCTTGTCACAACAATAGTGTTGACAAGTCAACTGTTACTTGTAATGTGTTAGATGCATGACTGCCACGAATTTGTGCAAATGACTGAGCGCGCTTCGGAATCCATGTTCTGCTGGCAGCTCGGAACGACCCGGGGTTGCACTTCGCGACAAGGAGCAGGCTGCTTGCCTTTGGGTCTCAAGTCTTCTCCGTCTGCTGGTTCGTTCGGTAGAGCCAGTCTGACTACTGGGCACAGCTAAAACTCTGCACATGAACGAATCACAGCAGTCACCTCATCACACCTAGTCAGAGCAGCCTGGAATCAAGTCAGGAGCGATATGATGACGCCAAGAGCTTTGCGTCCAAGCATACAGATCGGAACAGTAAAGGATCGGCTGGGATTGTCGCCAAGTGCCAACGGCGCGCCACCAGCCGCCAGAAGCAAAGCGCAGTGCTAATCCATGCTACGAATTCCAGGACTGGGGAGAGTAATAGCTGGATGATGCTGGATGGCATTTGTAAATGCGCAGTTGGCTTTGGGATGCTTTGGGTTCAGAGTCTGGTGTCTCAGGGTCCTGAGGCCTGCATGATCCTGCATGCTTGCGCTCACAATGACAAACTTCCAACATGATCAAACATGCGCAGCCTGCATCTATACTGGAGTCCGGATGCGCGTGAGATGCACTTACTGTACTTTGTCTTGCCGGATAATGCCACTTCCTTGAGGGACCGCACTTGAGGTTTCCAGTCCAAGCTTTTTCAAGCTTCTGCATCCTCGGCTCTGTGTCTGCAACAGCTGATTGCAAACTACCAATGCTTGTCGGCCTTTTCTCGGTAGGATATTTCACAGGCGCATGAAAGGCTTCAAGGCTGGTTCCAACATAGTACTACATTTCGTTGCTGTCGTTGATCCGCCAGTCAGAATTGCAAAGTCAGTTCAAACATCAGCTGCTTCCATGCTAGGCAATGGCAAGTCCGTATGCCCTGCACCACACATTCAAATCTTGTATGTTGGAGCCTGCTGAAGCAAGAGCATTGACGCGGGTCGACTTCGTGAAAGGAACTTCTAACAGTTCGTACACGAGCCATGCCGTTTCGCATGAGCTGTGCCAGACGTGGGCATAAAGACCTGCGCATGTCCACGTGTCTCCTCTGGCATCAAGCTTTCAGGATAAACATACTTTCATCATCGACAGAGTGCGAATGCTGAATGTTCTGACCACAAGAAATTGTAGAAACATCCTCCAAACAGTTGGCTCATAGAAAGGATTGCATGTGAGAGGAGGCAGTGGCGGATTGACAGGGCCTCGTCTCAGCGTGCTGATGCGGAGAATCCAGGACCTTCAGAGCAACTACCAGTACCGTACCACTGAAGGCACGAAATCAACACGACTCACAGCGTCTGAGTGTCTGAGTGCGGCTCCAAGTTTTGGTTGTGCCTTTGCTGCCAAGGCTTTGGACAGCGCTGAAGGCTTGGGGCTAGCAGAAACCAGCGAGGGTTTCGGGCTGGCTGCTGGAGCTGTCGGCTTTGGGCTTGCTCTGGGAGCGGTAGCGCCAGGTCTGGGCGTGACAGTGCCAGGCCGAGGGGAAGCTGGCCCCGGTTTTGGGGTGACCGCGCCAAGCTTTGGGGCAGCACCAACCTTTGGTGTGGGAGAAGTTGACTTTGGGCTGGGATTCTTGGCTTTTGGGGGTGTTGTGGCTTTGGGCCCTGGACTTGCACTGGACTTAGGCCGGGGGCTAAGTGGCGGTGTGGCTTTGTGTGCTGCTTTGGAGGCAACTTTTGGCAGAGTCGCCTTGGGACTGACTGGCAGTGTCCTGAGGATGCTGAGCCGCTCGGGAATGCCAATTGAAATGCCATCTCCCGCCTTGTTGAGGTTGGTGTCAGGCTGCGAGGTGTGGCACCTGGCCAAGTTTTGACGGCCACTTACATCTGCCCTTCCGGCACATTCCCGCACCTTCAATAGCAAACCATGTTCTGAACGGCTCATTGAATTCAGGCATATGATATTGCACTCGCCTTGCGGACTTTGCGCATCACCAGGTGCCACTGAACCTAGGAGTCTTCATCAAGGCTTTCAAATTCTTTGCTCGGAGTCAATGTTCACTATACCACAGCTCAAATGCAGCTTCTCAGCTTATCAGTTGCTGGTGCTCATGATTTGCTTTTGGTGTTTTTTTGCTGCGAAAGAGGCGGCCAACCCATAATGGCGGCAACGATTCCTTGATGATAGCAATGAGGTTCATCAAGCTCATGATACAAGAATTGTAAATATGGACCAGTGCCCATGAAAAACATCCACCCACTGCGGCAATTCGCAGTTCACTGAAAACTTAATTACGTTACCTGAACAGATCGGCAGTACGGCAGCTACTGGCAATTACCACGGAAACAAAAGGAATGAACATAACGGCAACAAGTCAACAGCAGCCATAAGCCACCAAGATCATGCGGAAACCGCCAAGAATACACGACTTCAGGATGTGAAGCGATGAAATGTGGAGACGAGATCTGACATGAGAGACGACCCCCAACACGACAAGAAACACGATGCACGATGCGGTTCAAACACACGGCAGATACAATTTTAACTTATGACTATGCTTTCGTGAAACATTCAAATGCAGGCCCATGGAAGCACTCCCACAGCAACGTCAATCAGAGAGTTGGGTTGCGGCGGACGTCGAAGTACAGCCGGCAGGCACAAGTTTCGATGAGAAACACTAAACTACCACCAGCGATCTTTTGGGTGCATGCAGAAACGGTACAGCAATCACGAGCTTTGTTTATTAATGTTTATTAGTTGAGGGAGCAAGTATTGAATGCTCCCACATAAGTAAGTTGTGTAACAAGGGCCGGGAGGTTTCTGGACATGTGGGCTTCAATTTCTCCATCCTCGTCGAGGGTTGAGGCCAGATGAGGCCAGGTTGGAGCACCGCTGCTCTTGCACTTGGATTGGCCTTAGCAAGAAAAAGGTTGGAAGCGACGTCGACAATTGCTGTGAGTCCACAGCCTGTACACGTGCATGGAAGGCATGCTTTGTTGGCAATACTCGAGCACCTACTGTGGGGCCTCCGCTTGTTGCTCCAGAAGTGTCAGCAACAAGGCTTTGAAGCCTTTCCTTTTTGTACATGCCTTGTTGGGCTTTCATTGCAACGCTTGGGCAGCAGCATCCAACCTAGAATCCTCAGGAACAAGACTTGCATGTAGACGTTGAATGTAATCTTCTGGCATCAAGGCTTTGGTTCGAGGATGTTTTCACACTGTAGGGGCTGTACTCAATTTTCCGAATTTTTCCTGTTATCGTGTTTATGTAGCCCGTCTGATTGGAAATTCTTTTAGTTTCACGTTGTGCACGTTGGCCGCTTGGTCGCAAATTGATTATTCTGCTTGTCTGCAATTTTCCTCGCTTCCGGTGGGCACGCTTACCGATGCAACAACGTCACTCTCGTACACATCGTGCACGCCCCCGAAGCCCAACAAACAAACGTAACATCTACTGCAGAAGCACGAATCTCGTTATGGTTGGAGAAGTTAACGTGACTGAAATGGCGCCAACATCATGTTGCATCACAAGCCCAGTGGTGGGCTTGCGAAGGTACGGTACATGCAAAGACGAAAGCATGAACCTCAATAGTTGCAGTACCCACACCTGAAGCTGAAGCTGAAATTCCACATGTGGGCAGGATCTGTCAACACACCAGAGAGCCTCGTGGAGTCACGCTGCCGCTGACCGACCCTGGCATGATTGCTTGCCTCTGCCCTTGAGGCATTTAGGGTGGAGAAGCTGACGAGTTACAAAGCACATAGACCTAACTGAGCATGTATGTGGTTTTGTGTCGCAAGGGTCGTCAAAGCGGTTCAAGCTGGCAGCCCTCCGTCATAACATCAAAATCTTTGCGAAATCCTGTCACTCACTTGAGCTCTGAAGCCCTGTCACAGCCCCCTGTTGCGTTAGTAAAACCAATGCCCGTGACGTGACAGGAACGAAAGCGGGACCGAATTGAACCCCTGGAAACATGTGATGAAATGGTACGTATGCAATTTATGATAATGAGTTCCGTCGTCATCATCATTATCATGATGGACTGCTGGCCCATTGCACCTCGCGGCGTAGCATTGCCACCAGCTGCAACTGAATCACGTGCAGGTGCAAGCAAGTGCAGATTCAAGATTCAAGGGCTTTGCGGTGCCGCAGAATAAAATTCTCATCTTGGCGGCAGATTCTTGCGGAGCTTGAGAGCTGCAGGATGATTTGGCGGAATGTGGAGGTTTGGGACTGAATACGTTGGGCTGATACAACATTTTCAGGCAGGAAAGGGCAAGAAGGCACAATGGAACAAACATTGATATTGATTGGCTCCCCTGCCTGATGTTACACAAACCTTCCTCAATCTGCCAAATGCTTCTGCTGACTGTTAACCTCAAAGAAATGGACTTGCTCTCCTTTGGCGCCTCCGGGTAGGCCGAGTGTCGCAAGATATTTGGCCTTGGACTCTGCTGATGAAGGAGAACGGATACAGTTCTGAACATGATGAAATCACATTGAAAAAGTAGCAGGACATCATGCAGAGTGCCCGGAGTGCCCACGTTGAGCCACAGCTCAGACTCAACGTGCGCTTCTGCATCTCGAGTCCTGGTACAACGGCCTAGTATTTGCAACTCCGCAGCAGGTTGGTGAGCTGTTTCCGCAACAAATGCAAAAAGAAACATCAAGGCTGATGGCATGTTGTTCTCAAACCCATTCTTCCTGCAAACAACTTGCAAAGCAGCTTCAGGTGCCACATCAGGTCCCCCGGCCATGGGTACAAACGAGGCTCCCTGCTGGACCAGAACCTGCTCGGCTGAATGGTCAGAACTTAGGATTTCGGGCTATACTATCAACGTAATTACTGCCCTCGAAGTTCCGGAAGCCACAAATCGCAAGCCCACACACGCGGTGGCTTCTTCCACGCAGGCACACAGGTTATTAGCTGGGCCAAGCAGCCCGCCTAGTCACACTGCCCGGTTTGGTGCTTGGGTGCGCCAACACACGGGGGGCGGGCAGATGCACAATTTGCCCAATAACGCTGCAATCTGCAAGCCGCCGATAATCTTTTGTACGCTCAACAATGGCTCAAGTGCACGAT